GATCTGTAAGTGAAACAAATTCATATCTTCGATAAAAAACAATAATTTATCTTCAGATTCTGGGATCTTAATCAGTACAGAGTATCTTACTGTTGATATAAATTTGAGCCAGATTGGAGCATGTTTAGCCAACATATCGAATACATTAGTACAGTACTACAGCAAAACTACTAATAGTAATAATTGTATATCTGTGCTCAGGAGTCCTGGAAAACCAAACCTTGTAGACTATTTCATAGCTCACTAAGGTCTATCATTTGAGTATATACTCGATCCAAAAGCAATCAGACATTTGGGGATGTTCCCTCGTAAGTAGGTGTTTATCTTTCCAGTATTGTGTCGACAAGGCAAATTTGTTTAAGAAACCAAATCAACATTTTTGTAGATCTTGAAATTCTCTATCTTTTGGCAAAACAAGAAATGTTTTTTATGGTTAAGAATCAAGAGAAAAATGCGTTAACTAGCGAACATTCCTAGGTACGCGAGCGCTTTCAAGTCGGGACTCAGCACATCTTGTAGATCTTAGTGAGATGTGTCTATGGTAAAAATCTTTGTGCTTATGGCTTGTTTTGGAGGAGATCGACCATTCATAATTTTTTGCAACTATATGAGCCGTTTTACTAGAAAAAAAGTATATTTGAACTAATATAAGTTGATACGAACTAAGATTTTTCTCACATATACTTGTACACATATGAAGGATAATGTGAAAGTCTAAGCTCAAACAACCTTAGAAAGGTTGAGTTATCGATTTAAAAAACACATTAATATCGGTCTATATGTCATCAATTATACTATTTCACAGATTTGCCAGATGTATTATGGTTGAAACTTTTAGAATATCGAGCTTTTATGTTGTATTACAATTTTAAATGCTTTGTAAGTGTAGTTGAACAAGGTAATTTTCACATAATCTTCCATATGTGCACAAGTATATGTGAGAAAAATCTTAGTTCGTATCAACTTATATTAGTTCAGATAGTACTTTTTTCACAATAAAACAGTTCATACAGTTGTAAAATTAAGAATGGTCGATCTCCTCCAAAACAAGCCATAAGCACAAAGATTTTTACCATAGACACAGCTCACTAAGATCTACAAGATGTGCTGAGTCCCGACTAGAAAGCGCTCGGGTACCTGGGAATATTCTTTCGTTAGTAAAATATTAAGTTTTGTAAATAAGTATCCGCTCGACAAAAATTTTTAAACACTTTCTAAAAGGAACTTAAAATGCTTAGCAAAAGCTTATTGATTCACTATTCAATCTGATTTTTTGAGCCTTTTGAAAAATACCTTCACTAATTTTGAGCTACTACTGAGATAAAATTTTTAAGCACATATTCGGAAAATGTACAATATGCTAATAGATTTTTGAATCGTCGAAAACACTTTCAAGGAAATCAAAAATAAATAAATATTTTTTCTGAATATTTTCGACTCGCCTATTGGTTGTCTATCAATAAAATATACCGTTGATCACTTTGTAGAATCAGAAAAATTCATCTAAAAGTAATTAAATTGGAAATGCATATGACTAATATAGTAGTTTGTAGTTTCATGTTAAAAACAAAAATAAGATATGGATTTTGTATGACAAACAAATGATGTCTTATTTTTTTTAATTGAATAGAGAACGAAAAGGTCTCTGGGTAATGCACTATTCTTAATTCAATCATCAATTGATTCCTCTTTCTTATCAATAATCATTAAAAACAAACAAATAGCTCACATTACTAATCTTTACTACAGTCGATTACAATGTCATCTAACAAAAATTTTCAAGTTTACTTAACTGGTGGTTTTGCTGCTATATGTGATCTTCTTTTCGGCTATGACACAGGAATCATCGCAGGCGTTCTTACAATGTCAGATTTCCCATTGGCATTTAGTGGACCAGCAAGCGTTACACGTGGTTCATTGCCAAGTTCTGTATCAGGTTCTATTGTGGGTATTATGTTTGTTGGTTGTTTTGTTGGCGCACTTCTAACAGGGTGGAGTGTGAGTGTGTCTTGAGAGATAAACCAAACCCATATCCTAGCTGAAAATCTTTTACATTCATTGACGGAAAGTGAGCAAATAGCAAAAAAACCGATAATGTTAGAAATCAAATACGTGCTGAAAAAAAAACCGCTTATCACAAAAAGAACATTATAGAAAAATACATCAATTAAATTTAACTAAAATAACATGAAATAAAAGTGCAAACAAATCATCAGTAACAGCATCAGAAATACCCATACCAAATTTTGATTTTACTGATGAAACTGGACATGTTTGTTGTATTTGTCGAAAAGGTTAAAAATATTTTCCAAATAAAGTTTTAACTATTTAGGCATTTACAAAAAAAAGTTGATATTAAACCATATGAAGCTAAAACATGAAAAACATCCGGTCATACACCTGTAATACATTTTAATACAGTTCACATTGAATGTCATACATCAGCTGTATTACATATGAGTGAGATCTATAGACACGGATACTGCTGTTAAAGAATTGCTGACTACGTGTCTGTTAATTGATCACTGTGAGTTTAGAATCTTGAGTTAAAATGAAACATACAACATCGAAGTTGTCCTATTGAAGAATTAATGAGAAAGAGCTGAGCTTTTTCAATTCGTCTTCGGTTAAATTTATTCGAATTTCCATATTAACAAAATTTATGAAGTAATCAAAAAACTAGTAGAATATTCTAGAAAATTAGAATAAGTTTTTATTAAAGATTTTTTTCCCTTGAAAAACACATTGGACAATCTCGAAAATGCATATGTTTTATATATTTTGTTTTTGTCTGATGAATGATATGGGGTGACGCATCAAAGATTTATATCTCATCATACTAATATTTGTTGTTTTTCTTTTAGGATTTAGACAAATCTGAATTTATTGATCATATTCGTTCATTATTTTGTCGTGAACAATCAATTCCTTATGTAACATTTTCAATATCATTAACAAATATTTCTGATACAGATTTCGAAAAAAAAATCTTTCACAATTCGTTAGACTTTCGACTAAACAATACATTGAAAAACAAAAGAAATTCATCAGTAACTCGAAAATAAGCAACATTATTTGATTTTCAACAAATACAATTAAATGAAAAATTTCAATAAATTCAAAAGCAATTTTGAAATTGTAACAGAACAATATCAGCAAGTAAAGTTTAATTATTTAAAAGCAATGATCTCGTCGAAAACGTCTATTATCACATGTTGATGATCTTCTATCCCTTATTGAACAAAGTACACAAATTGTATCAGATGCTGAAATATGAATGCAACAACAATTAAAAACATAAAATACAAATTGATTGTCTCAAAGAAAATATTCAACTTCTTCAACAATTTATTTCATCAAATCAAAATCAAGAACACTTTCATAATTATTCAAAACTTCATGTAAAATCATCGAAATCAGATTGATCAAATGAAAAAACAATTGCAAATTGTTCAAATTAATAAATAAAATTTTTCATTAGCTTCATTTTTTTCCTCTTTGTAAAACAAAAATAGTTTGCCTTATCAGCTAAGTTCCAACAGATAACTTCTCATTTATTTATTCAATATGGAAAATAAGTTTTCTAAACATAGATCTTGAAAAAAAAGAGAACCTTTATTTTTCTAATCAACTAAATTTTCGATATGAACATTGTGTTCGACTGGCTAATCAATTTGTTGAACAAGGTAATGGAGCATTCTGTTCATCTGGACAAAACATTCCAGGTGGACAAAGAATACATTTAGTCATTCCAGTTTTAGCAGCATATTATTCTGCTGGATATTTACCATAAGACTTGTCCTGGATTTTTTGGTGCCCAACTGAGTGGACATTAAATGGGCTCTTGATCTGGATGTGAACAGTATCAACCTATGAAATTTTTTTTATTATTAAATAAAGAAGATTATTTCGAAAAAAAATATACCTACCAAGTCCACAGATAACACAATAAGTTAAATCAGTAAGACTCCTTTGATGACCAGCAGCGCATGTTGCAAATGAAACTTTTCCAGCTACACTATATTTACCTTATTCACATTTTAGTGGAAAAATAGCTGGATTAGGATGTGGGTGTGGGTATGGGATGTGAATGTTCTCTTCTGTAAAGTGTCAAAATGTAGAAAGTGAAAATGTCGAAAAAAAAATGTAGAAAAGCAAAATGTCGAAAATTATGAACCCCTGTAAATCCTTGTAAATCCTTGATGAAAAACTTTTTCTAAGATTTGATCAATAGAATGCAATACGGTACACATTCACAGAGCA